CACTCCATAACTCAGTGTGCTCGTGGTTGTCGTCTGGGTGACCGGAGTAGATTATTGATTCTCCAGTTGACAGTTTGGAGAGTCCACTCCCATTCCATCTGCTTTCGCAAATCCCAAGCACTTCGATGTGATACCTTCTCATCTCCTTTGCAATCTGGGCTGCCTTGCTGGGTTCAAACATCGTACGGACATTCCATGTCCCCACGTTTACTTTCGCTTTCATCGAGGGAGAGAAGACACATCGGCCAATTGGCTTCCCGAAGGCAGGCTTTCACCAACTGGCGTCATTTCGCCTCTCCGATTCCAGCGGGGAATAAGTTTGTTTTCATTTTTTATATTTTGTTTGTGCTTTGAAGTTTCTTTAGCGGTTAGATTTGTTTTACGGAGTAGGGTTGCTAGCCGTATGCCCAACCTTCCCTCTTTACCCGGGCTTAGGACCGGCTAGTGACTAGTGAACTAGTTAACCAGGCGAGGTTGCAAAAGTAGGTAGTGTGGGTCTATTTTCCAGAGAGTAAATGGCAGTTGATTTTGGTGTCGTAAGGAGACTGACCGTGAGTCGCAGGTAGAAGAGAGGTGAGAGTGGGCAAGATAGGTTGACGACACCCTGGGCACATCCGTGGTAGACCATGCTAGGCGACGTAACTGTCTAACCGTCTCTTGAATGGGTCGACTGAGGTGACTTTGCTCTCAGAGAGAAAAGAATTGGACCTGAATATGGTATTGGCTCTCTGATTTGTTATCCTAATGGGGTTTCCCCATGGTGACCGCTGTGTTGCGGGAAGAGTTAATTTGCTTACATGGTTTATTTTATGGGCAATCTTGTAGGCCATAATAAGATCACATCTCTTCCTCCAATGGTCCAAGGTAAATAGGTTCGGGTGTTTAAGTCTTTTAGGACGTGTCCCCTCCCTTGGCACCACAACTGATTTTGTTACGGTTATTTGTATCTTTTCAAGGAGATTAGAGCCCCTCTTAAGTGATGGGGGGCCACCGTATCGAAGACCTATAGGCGCGGCTATACGTAAGATTTGAAAACGGTGAGGAAGTGTTCAGGGATGAGGGCGCCAAGCTGTCTTCGCAGAAAGTGCAAAATGGCGTTCTCCTGGGTTATCATACCTTCGTAATTGGAGCTAGTGTTCAGGGTTTCGGAGAAGTTAGGCCCCAAATCTTTCTCCCTGGATACTCTGGTGATGGCACGGTTGCTCAACAAGTACTGGAAGTCGGTTGAACTTGCCTCATATTTACTGATGTGCATTACTTTGCACTTTACCGGGTGGAAGCTCAGGCCATTTTCCCTGCGACCATAGTTCGAGTTGCTGCAAGTCATTTTGTAGTGCCGTGCAGTCGGCTTCTTCGTTTACTACTCTCCAGATTTTGTTGTCCTAAACGGAGAGGAGGATAGGTGAGGATATTTTGTCCGGCAGATCATTGACAAGCAGGAGGAGCAGAAGTGGTTCTAGGACTGCTTCCTGGGATACTCCTGACGTCGATAGTTACCACTCCGACCCTGTTCTCTTTACTTTGGTACAGAACTGCCCTACTCCCAGGTACTGCTTGAACCGAGAGAGTAGGGGTTCACTTATACCAGCTGACATGATCTTCTGAAGCAGAACTGTGAATGAGACGCTGTCAAGTGGCTTGGCTAGGTGAACCGGTTTTCTGTTGCCGCAGCTGATTGTCCAGTCGTCCGGGCGGTTATCAAGTTGGTGGCGCATAAGTGACCACTCCGAAGTCCATGCTGAACAGTATGGACAATGTTTTCTCTGTTGAGTTCACAGTTGGTGTCAGCTACCAGGCTTTCTGATGCTTTCGATACCATAAGGAGCGGAGCAATTGTTCTGTAGCTGCCAGAGCATTTTCTGTCTATTCCCCTGAAGATGGGTGACAAGATGGCGGACTTCAATTCTTTAAGGAGTTTGCATGACTCTACTGAGTGCTTGAAGAGGTTGCAGGTTGGTTTTTCAGGCACTTCGGGGCAGTTTTCAAGATCACCGGTTTTAGGTTATCGTAGCCAGGGGACTTGCCTAGACGTGACCTGGATAGTTTCTCCGACGCTTTTCTCTGTGACTGAGATCTGGCAGCGGTATTCGTCATTCATGACCGGGTCAGTGTCGTAACGAGTCGGTGTGGACTTGGTGTCGGTACTAAGTTGGGCTTGGAAGTATGAACTCAGAAGCTTGTCAATCTCTAGGCTGTTTCCATTCCTGAGGAGTCCGGAAGTGAGAAAGTTAAACAAATTTTAAGGCCCAAGCAATAATATAATTAGACATGTCCGTAACGTATGCGATTATATGCTTGTGTCATGGCAAATGTGGGACTTATCTCACATACTCTGCCACGTCGTACTCACCAAATTGAGGGTTACTGAGGTTTAATCCACGCTGTAGGCCACACTGGTTTCAACTGAAGTCTTTCGGTGATTGAAGTCATGGCAAGGATAAAATGTGATTGTTGCCAGTGCATGCTCTGAAGTCATAGTGCCCCGGTGAAGAATTTGAACCAGCGCTGTTGACCGAGATAACATGTGAAAGGACTTTACGGAAACGTCTAAGCCCATTTGACCTGTGTTTCATGCACAATAGGTTGCTCAGTCGTTCACATGAGCTTCTGGCATCGGGAGAAGCCTGCTACATTTTTTCTTGTCCTCAAATCTTTCTTTGTGCAGTACATCCTCCGGCCAACGTTAGGGTTGTACCGACTCAGGGACCCTGGATAAGATGGACAGGTCTAAAAAGCTGTCGAACAACAAATGGTATCATCTGTAAGACTGGTCCCAGCCATTGACACATCCTCGGTGTTGCGATATCATCTTACACTGGCGTGTAATAGCACGGCTTTACCAACAACATGCTTTTTGGTTCAAATCATATTTCGCTTAACTTACAACATATCGTACGATACTTGTCGTTCCTCCGATGAAACACTTAATATTTCCGACGAAAAATGTACTTTTGGTGTAAGTTACAAAGGTGAATATACATGTAGGTCTGATCTGTGGTCCGTGAACCTTCTTCTACCTGCAAGTCAGTGTGCAGTGCTAAGAAGTCTGTGGTCTAGAAGTCACTAGTTGTCAAAAGTCTTTAGTGGATAACACTCACTAGTTTTGAACTCACAAAGATATTAGCCATTTTACTCAAAAGATGGCTTAAATGAGGGCCCAAGAACCAAGGGCAAGCCCTGCAAAGTGAGAATGTTAACGAAAGTGGCACGAAGGTTACTTTGTACCTTACGCGGAACTCTGAAAGCTGGTCTAAATATGCCTGAACTGGTGGGAACTAGAATCCTAACTTCATCTTAATCTATGCATTGTCGTCAGAAGATAATGAACGACTTTCGAACATTTTATGCCCCGAATGCTACTTTAGAAAGGAGGGAAGAATGCATAAGTAATATTTATTGATAGGTAAACCAGGGATCTTCACTCGGAGTACTTCCTTTCTTGCATGTTTTACACATCTGTGACAGATAAGCGTAAGTTTTTGACCTGCAACCAGTGAATAAACAAGATAAATGGTTTTCTGGCATAAAACATTAGAGCTTTATTATCCACATATGTGACGGGTTATCGTGCATTCATAATAGAGTTCTCTATCAGTAATCGCTCAATCGGTACTAATGATACCAAACCATATCAGTGCTAAGTAGAGCTACATGGTCAGTAATATTATATGAAAGTGGATAGAAATCTCGCGTCTCAACAATATTCTCACTTTTATTTCGCTAAGAATGCCTGATTTACTGAGGGCCCTTAGGTTGTAGCAGCCCAAGGTTTGAGGGATCAATAGATTGAAGTGAGATTTTTTCCTACTTTATACTGATAAATGGGCATTATTTAGATGGACAGCATATGTTGCGAAGTGCGATGAAATACTACTGCGATATTATCATCTACTGCCTCGTCTAGTATACTGCTCCAATGAACCATGATTCATGACTAGAATAAAAAGTAAGACGGATAGAGAGCAATTAGTTCGCTGATAACTCACAACCATCCACAAAAAATACCTTAATTAGTACTTGTGAGATTCCAAACACCACCAACAAATGAAATATATTTGCAAAGTTCCAGTGAAATGTAAAGATAATTTTCTGACGTTTCATCATAACCCGTTTGCCCAGTGCTCAAGTAATTCAGATCTATCAAGTCAAATTTCGATCCTGAAGTTTATGAAGGTGCGAATAAAGTTATACTGTGTGATGAACAGGGTCAGTCAAATATGGATAGTCCACCTCGCTACCCCGAAGGTGCGTCTCAAATGAGTCCAGTTACAAGAAGCAATACCGACCAGTGTTCGCAGTTCTCTGTAAACAAAATATTTTCAAGGCGACATCCGAATTCAGTTTGTCAGTCTTTTCCTCCATCCTTCTTTTATAGTTACTTGACTATGATGAAAATTTCGTGAGTGTTGGATGATTAGGTTCTAATATCCTCAACCAGAATTGTCCGATAAAATCGGTATAAACAACATCAGGAGTACTTCTGAAAGATAATCATACTTCACTGCATAAGGAAATCGAAGCCATGCTGCTATCTGGCTTAGTTTTCGTGACACAATTGCTAACGTACTGATTTGCAAATATCAGGCTTATTGGTTTGAATCATACGGTGAACTAGTTTTTCATCTTCAACCATGCCACTATATCCTACAGTAGCAACAAACCAAGCCATGGCCATCTCAAATATTCTAAATGCAATATCTAAACATTGAGCGTCTACAATTGCAGACTGAATCATTGGTCTCACGGTGACCGGCATGGCGAAAAAGAAAAAAGAGAACCTGGGACGTGAAATCTAACAACAATAAATTCATGATCTGATCTAAGATACAATCGCAATAAATAATGTTGAATCACGGCATAGATTCTCTTTGATCGCTATATCGGTATAACTATGTTATTTCCAGCTTTGAAAAAACTGTGCAGCGATAGAAAATTTATTGATTGGCCTCCCTGATTTCAATATATTTGTTACTGTACATCGCCTAGTTTTGTTTAAATCACCACATTTATGGTTTAGATTATTCTCACCGTTGAGTAGCGGGGATTACGTTAGCTTCTCGATCCTGGCGGTGGTTATGGTGGATCAGACCCCAGTGGCTGTTTTCAAGTTAGTTCTTGTTGGTGATGGTGGTACGGGGAAAACTACCTTTGTGAAACGCCATATTACTGGAGAGTTTGAGAAAAAATATGTTGGTATGTGTGGTTCGTGCTCACCAATTTTTTGAAAGCTACTTTGGGTGTTGAGGTTCATCCACTCGACTTCCATACCACCCGTGGCAAAATGCGCTTCAACGTATGGGATACTGCTGGACAGGAGAAGTTTGGCGGGCTTAGAGATGGTTACTACATCCAGGGCCAATGTGCAATAATTATGTTCGATGTTACAAGTCGTGTCACGTATAAAAATGTCCCCAATTGGCATCGGGACTTGGTACGAGTTTGTGAAAACATACCAATCGTCTTATGTGGTAACAAAGTTGATATTCAGGACAGAAAAGTTAAGGCGAAATCCATAACTTTTCACCGAAAGAAGAACCTGCAGGTGAGTCTGAATTCGTAGCTTCATTTTGTAGTACTATGATATTTCAGCTAAATCCAACTACAACTTCGAAAAGCCTTTCTTATGGCTAGCCCGTAAGCTGGTTGGTGATCCGAACTTGGAGTTTGTGGAAATGCCTGCCATGGAGCCTCCTGAAATTCAAATCGACCCTAACTTGGTCAGGCAATACGAGCAGGAAATTCAAGTAAGTGAAATATTTCGTCATGACTGTCTTCTTAGATGGCTGCAGATGCTCCTCTTCCAGACGAAGGTGATGAAGATTTGTGAATAACCGAGCCCCGGTATACATGACTTTCAGACTCCCTATTGAATGATTTTTATTCAGTGTAATAAACTTTTCCTAGTGTCATCATGGCTTGTCTGCTTGACGTCTTAGAAACTGCAACGGTCTGTTCCCCACAATCTTTGCATTTTGGGGGATAACAAGGCGTTGAGTCTCGCTACAAACTTCTTGACCGTTCGGGATGTATACACGGCGTGCTAGTTGTTGTTTTGTGGTTGATCTACTTAGACACTGTCTTACTGAAGGTTTTGCAGTGATTGACTCTATCCACCACCAACTCGAGGAGTCAAATCGTCTGTAATGGGTCTGCTGTCAGAGTGTTCATGGTGGTTGCTGACACGCTCTCACCACCTAGATGTTTGGATGTGCACTGATGTGCCACGTCGGAGTTTGTTGTCGGTCTTTCTGTTTACGATGATGCAAACAATTTGGAGGTTTAGAACGACTAACAGTCTTCACTATCATTGTGTTGGTTATGCCTCGAGGTAAAATACGTGGAGTTTGTTCGTTCCCAAAACCGACTGACGTTAGTGCAATATGTTCCAGGCTCACCTAGTGACAGGCTTCCCTGAATCGTTCTGATACCGCGACGTTTGGTGATCAGGCAGCAATCTGGCGTTAGTTTGTCCAGTCTCCGTCCTGAGAAGAGTAGACAATTTAGCTGGGGTCGGCAATAGTTAACTCGACGTTTAGTAGCGTGGACAAGGAACTATTCCCGGTGCGAAATTGACTTCACATATAATCGTCTGTTGACCATTCCGTTGCGTGCTTAACCCTTTCCTTTCTGGTTTCAAATACACGTCTGTTCCGAGGTGTGCAAACTCGGGCCGTTATGTTGCGTTTCTATGTACCACTCTGGAAAATCTTTTCTGTAGTGGTCACATTTTCGTCCACCTGGCCACAGTCAGCGGACTGAATACTTTTTGTTTCCACGCAGTGCGTCACTTAAGTAAACGTGGGGTTTAGTTTGGTGGACTGGCTCTAAACTTCCGGTGGATCTACGTGGGACCACCTGATAGATCAGGTCACTATGATGGCATGAATTTGGCTGGTCGAGTGGCTATTACGGTCCGTCCCCAGTGTCGAGAACAACAGTATGAAGATAGGTGTATTATCGTTAATTGTTTGTGCTTGGGTCTGGGTTGTTCACGGTTTGACCTAGTTCTCTTTCTAAATCGGATATATGCTAATGTTAACACTTGGTTATTGGGTGTTCCTTGTCGATGTTGCATCTGACTACAAGTTCAGCAGTTTTCGGTGCTTACATTGACTTAACCTGCGGTAGGGTTACAAGTTGGTTGCACAGCCTAACCCCAAACATGCCTTAGAGCGGTCTTTATTTCTGTATGTTTCTTACGTAAGTTGTCTTTCCGTACACGTGGTGTTTGCTGTTTATAAGATATTCTGGTTAACGTCGACTTATTGTGTCGGTTATTTTGTGACAAGTGGTTTGCCGAAGTTTTGTCTTATAGTTGGTGTGAACAGTGGTAAGTGTTTTGAAGGCCAATTAGTGGTATACAGGTGTGATATGTGAAAGTGGATTCGGGAACTTGTCTTGTCTTATACAGGTTGCCTATCAATCCATATATGACATATGTGTGTGACTCTCAAAGTTACACCGGCTGGTTTGCCACTGGCGCGAAACGATGATTTTGGCGTTACTAATTCCAAGCAGAGAGACAATTCGTGGTATTCGACCCATTAATTTACCCTCAAGCTAGATATCCTCATGGGTTGCAAGGTACCATGATAGTATCTTTTCGCGTAATATGTATTACATTTGTTTTACCTGTTTCTTCATGCATAAACTCTATCCAAACATCAGCGTTGAGAGTTTGTGGTGTTAACAGATGTGTGAACCTAATTGTTATTTTCATATTCACACAGTGATATACTATAACCCTTGAATGGTAAAAACAGGCATCCTCCAGGAAATCATACACAGTCGAATGGTTCATTGGCTTGCGATGTTTGTTACGTATGTAGAAGGTGACAACTGAATGTCTTCAATCACCCTTAATCATATTTTTTGCGTCAGGCATATTGGTTGTGCTAGCTTAATATTTGTAACCCTGCTACAAAATTTCAAACATGTTTTGTCTTCGGATTTGTAACTGCTACTTTTAGACCTCGAGACTATTGACCTGATACTTCATAAGGTTATAAGATACATTCATAAATGGTGTACAAAATTATTCCGTGGGTTAGAACTCAAATTACGGATAATACGGTAGCATTTGATCTATAACTCTTGGACTGTAGTAGTGTAGTGGGTTATTTTACCATGGCCTATGGCGTCATTATTATTAGGGATAATCTTAGCACTTCTCGTTTGTCCACAATACCAGTCCTAGAGATGCCAAGCAGAATTTAGAAGTCCGAAACAGCCGGTTAGATATTGGACTATTTCCAATTTCAATAGGAGTAGCATGACCTAAATTCTGCTCTTTTCGGAATGATTCTAGCAGCTTGAACACACGTCTGAATGCAAACTCAGTACTATTCAGCGATTTGGTTAAAAGAAACCCAGAACAAGGTGTGGCAGCAATCCAAGAAGTTTATGACCGTTGGCTTAGATCACATGAGCTTCATCGTCCAGGTATATAAGAGGTTGAAAGATCAAGGGGATATTCCTCAAAACTGTTTGTGTTATGGACTAAGATTTCTACATTTTATCCAAGTTGATCAAAAAGCTTTTCGGAACCGTTTTGAACGGAATACAGGAACGAAGTAATCGATATTTTGTCTTTTGAACTTTGATTGGGTATTTAGAACTTGATATTAAGGTGATTTATCTCTAGGTTATTACCATATAGAGTAAGTTAAGTTGCAGTAACTTATTAGTCAGTTAATGAGTAGTTATGGAATTCGGTGATATTAGGGGGAAAACTATTCCACAGCCACACACGTTATTTAGTCCTACATTGTTGGCATGAACAAGATGCCAGAAATGATTATTTCGATACAAGACTATCATTACTTCAAATAACAGTGTTAGCTCAGTAGGATTACGACTAAGAAGGGCTGCAATGTGATTCATCAGTGGCAAATAAACTCTATTTGTTGTTCTGTTTTGTTGTCGGTAACCTACTGTGATTTAAATTTTTGACTCGAAATCATTGCCGGGTGTATTTTATGTTCAGTTTTTTCTGACTCTCTTAAAGCTTATTTTTTGCAGAATATCTTGGTTTCTCAATGACAAATTTAGTTTGAAGAAATCTCCGCCATTCTTCCTCCTTCAGTTTGGGTGGCCTAAATCCAATATAACGAGGATGAATCCTTGATAAATGCTGCTTTGAAAGCAGTCAATAAACATAAACCTCCTTCTAAACTACTGTTTAATGCTCGTTTGTGACATGCCTGGAGATAGATTCCTTAAAATTTTAACGAAATGCCGTGACCTGTAGGGTCAAGCAAGTCCAGTGTGACGATAAATACTTGCCGATAGCATTTGATGATGATCCTGCTTTATCGTGAATTGACTGGAGTAGAAGGATATAGACCATAGGATTCCGATCCAGTGAGTGAATTGCGATGTGATCTGACGGTTCTGGGCTCTATCTCTGATTGAGTCGTGAGTGTGCATTGCTGAGGCGCCCCACACCAGGACAAAATCAGTGTTCAGTGCGCTTAAGTTTTCAATGGTCACCCAACTGATGTCGGTCTGTAATAAATACTACCTTGAAATAAGTAAAATCCCCATAAACGTCAGACTACATCACTGTTTAGTGCTCACTAGTGGCACGCTTTAAGGACAAATGTTGATGGATTATGTGAAATAAGAATATATCTTGTTTGTTTTGATGTATTTAATATATTGGCCTGCAGAATTATCAACTGAAATTTATATTAATCTTCTTCGTTGAAACGACCTTTATATTTAACCTCTTGTAATAGGAATTTTGAGTAAGTTGACTGTGTAATTTGAATTCATCAAGAGACATAACTGAGTCCAACTCCATTCGACCAGTTAACTAGTTGGTCACTCCAGTATAGTTACATCAGGGTGAGGGATTTCTAACTATTCATACTATTCTGTAGAACATCTCTAATGCTTGGACTTGTGAACTTAAAGAATGGAATGTTAGTCACAGAGCCTTTAGCATAGCATATGAGAATTTGTCTTCTATTGCCTTATCAATGATTATTGGTAATGGATGCAGTCCAAATAAACCTCATTCATCAGAAGCAGATATCTAGAATTATTCTAACTGACAGACAGTAGAATTAATGCTCTGCGTTTTAAGATGGTCTTATTTAACCCATTGATCGAATAACCATTTGGCTAAAGTGCTTGAAAAGATTAAAAATCATAATTCAACTATTTCATTTATTCTGAACTTTAACTATCTTCCACGATAACTTAATTTTAATATAATCCCAGTGTGTTTAAAACAACAAACGATCTTATTAATCTAAGAGTAAAACTGGGACACTGTGTTACGATGAAGATTCATGTTACTTGATTTCTTGGATGCATCTTATAGTGGAACAGTATTATCCGTTGGATAAATTCCCGGACACATGGCCATAACAAGATTTTTCTGAAGGAATCGCTGTATCAACTACAGCTTCACCAAAGAATTCCGATTTTTAAAAAGGTCTAACAATACAGTCAAAAAGTACATAAAATAATTTGTATGTAGGTCATTCGTTAAATGTTTTGCTGTAGAAACTGAGTAATTATGATTACCCATGTTAAATTTATGCTGTGGGCACTCGGATTCTCCCAATATATTCGTACTAACTATAATGTGGACATTTATAACTTAACTGTCTTCCAGTTTGAAGATATCCTGACTAACAAGGGGCACCGACCCAGTCAACATTTTCACGGGAAAACGCAGTGGTTAAAAACTCGGAGGAAATGTTGCACAGTCCGGCGTTTTGCCCCATATTTTCATGGCAATCTGAAATATGACCCCTAGTTTTGCCCCTCGAAAATGTTGACTGGGGAGCTAGTATGAATCATCGTATAAGACGTATTTTTACTTGTGTAATCCCGGCGTAGTATATTAGAACAGATAACAAAATAAACAAATATTTTGTATTATTCCTCAACGTT